TATCAGGTAGAAATTGTCATCTTGATCTAACACCAAATTCTCGTGGCTAATTTACGAGAAAGTTTGTAGTACCTAGAGGGGAGAATTGTGTAACAATCAGACCTTGGGAGTTTTGGACTAGGCTGGCAGTAAATACGTAACAGTTTTTGTGCTTTGGTGAATAAGTACAACCAACAAAACAAACCGGATTCAAAATGTTGTTTTCAAATTTTAAACTTTTCTAACGAAATATTTTCTCATGATGCATTCCCTGGATATAGGAAGAGACTAAACAGCACGCAATTGATTTGACCCTTTAAGTCCCACTAGTGACCAAGACAGAATTTCTCCTTACACTATCAGTACAATATCAAGCAGATAAGTGATGAGAAAAAAGAGAATCAAATGTAAGGATCATTGGTTGATCCTATTCCAAATTCCCCAAACTAACATCATATGAAATGTATGACGGATAATATGGAGAATAACTAATTAAATCTTGGGAGTTAAAAGGTTCACTAACATGTAAACCGAATTCCCAAACCAACAAGAACAGAAGAATGCAATCTTCAATTTTTATGAGTAAAAGCTACTTTTCTTTTTCTTAACCAAAAGGGTTGACTGAACTCCCGATCTTCCCTACTAAAAAGATTTAAAAACCACTTTGAAATTTAGGACTAAATTCCGCGAGCAAATCGAAAAAAAATCAATTGTTGGAGCATGCTATTTCATTCTGCTCTCAGCATCAAGAGCTCAGACACTTGATATATTTAGGTTCTATGATGTTTATAGAATCACGTCTTTATCAGTTGATAATAAAAGTACTTTGATATACAACTTTACGTTTTGGAGCATACTATTTCAATTTGTTTTCGTCTCAAGAGCTCAGACATATTTAATGATCAGGCTTCAAGATTGCTTTTAAATCACGTTAGAAAAATTTCATTTGAGTTCATGTAGAACTTTAAACAAAATCAGAGAGACAAACATCAATTTTTAGCATCCTCTTTCAATTGGTTTTAGCCTCAAACAATAACGCTTCAAGATTTTTATAAAATCACACTAAAAAAAAAGGAAGTACGGTATTTTGCAATTGATGAAAAACTCAGAAAGCAATTTGAGAGATAAAACCCAACTTTTGAGCATAATGTTCAGTTAAGTTGTAACTAAACTCAAGAGCTCAATAAATCGATCTAATTATTTTTTGCAAGTCATGTTAGAATGAATTAATATATCAGTGTACGGTAAACCTTAGAAGCAATTTTAGAAAAAGCGGGAAGAGCTAAAAGCTCACTCACCCTCAAAACTAGTCTAAGATTTTTATTGAGATGACGCCAAAAAAAAATCTATGTCAGTTGATGATAAACTCAAGAAGCAGTCTGAGGGACAAAATTCAATTTTGGAGCGGACCAGAGCTTAGGCGGTGTTACTGTTTAAGCTCGAAGATCGTTATTGGATCAAGTCAAAAAAGTTTCTTACAATTTGATGAGTACTCAGGAAGGACTTTGGCATAAAAATGTCTCCGTTCGGACTGCACACCCTTAATTTTGTAACAATTAGGCTTCAAGGGTTTAATCCTCTAAACTGAAAAAGGAATTCATTTTTGTAAGAAATTATACGAATATTAAACTTTTCAGATCTCGAAAAGAAGTCTGGGAAAAAAGTCACTTTGCTTATAGATAATCTTTTTTAAAAAGATCGAGGAAAAGCTGGATGATCGATATCATTTTAACAATGATTCTCTAATCTTAGAACTAGAAAATAATTTGATAGGCTACACTGATTTCACTGATATGGTAACTTGGTCAGCCAGATAGATAGTCATAACAAGACAAGGATCACAAGATATTCCTTTGACGTTGGTGCAACAGATAAAAAGTATTCAGGGCAGAATTAATCCATCAAACGAACACTGCTGAAAACAATTGAAAGCCACTCCCCCCCTCCTCCCATCAGAAAGAGATCCATGAAATCAGACAGTGGAGAAATTAATTCATTTGTTAATTTGCAGTTTTTCTTCATTATTGGCTGAGTTAGTTTCTAATCGGAAACATCCGATAAATTCAGGATAAATCTTTCAACGCAGACGAATAGGCCTTTGTAACTAATTTTTTATACAACACCAATGATCTGACCTTGTTAGAAGTTGTCAGGTATTTCTTTCCTTCCTTGACTTTCTTGATTTCGACGGGTCCTCATTCTTTCCTTGATACAGTCCTTTGGAGAAAAAGCGAACATGAATATATATTCTGAATACTCACATACCTGAGTGCTTTTTATTCTTAGTATCAGAGGTCAACGTCTTGATCGACTGAAAACCTCATTTTGGAGCCACCACATTTTTTTATGACAAATTCAACGTCTTATAATCTTATTGAACAAAGGCATTACCGGCAAATTTAATTATGATAACTTACTAGGTCCTCTAATGACGAGATTTGTGATTTATTGAGAATAACTTTGCTAACTTTGACTGTTCGCCTTTTACCTTTAGACTACATGGGTATTTGACAAGCTTACTGTTCCTTTGGTAATTTAATACCAATGTCTGCCACCAAGAAATATGGAGCAATAGAATTGCTTCATTTCAAACTTAAATTTTTTTATTAATTTACCAGAGTTATAGGCTTAGATGACCTAGTCCGTTAAAAGTCTAAAGACTAACCTAATTGGATGTTGTCCTTTTTTCTTTCCTCTCTTCATTTCTTGATTTCCAAGCTGTTTCATGCTGTGCTTGATGCTGTCTTGACTGGAAAAAGGGAAGACAATGTGACTATATGCCTACCTATCTTTAGGTAAGTATTTACTTTGACTATTGGCACCTTACCATGATATTACATCGGTATTTAACGAGCTGAATTGTTACCATGGTAATTTGAAGACAGGAAGATGGTCAAAATTCTGCCTACAATAATAAGGTATTTCTTTGAAATTCTTATTTAACAGCAACCTAAAAAGAGCAGTAATGAAGGTGACTTGCAGTAAACAAGCTCCCACATTTGATGTTGAATGAGAGTAGAAAGACAGTTCTCAAAAATGAAATCATAAAATCTACAAGTGTAATGCAGTGATGTGCTTTGACATTCGACATCGTAAGGAAGAGTAAAAAGAAAAGATTCCAGATAAAGACCTGTCTCTACATACGAGATTGCCTCTAAAAGCTGAAACAGTTTATCTTCTGTATTAATTATAAAGTGACAAAGAGTACAACGATTCTTCTTGTTTGGGAGGCAGGTACTTAGCAGTCTACCTCTCAGTATTTTGTTAGTTTTCCTCAGAAATGTAAATCAAAGCAAGTACTGCCCTCCTCCTTGAAAAATATATAAAGGAATGAAAAGATAAATAAGTAAATAGGCAATAAGTACATTAACATAAAGTGTAAATTTCTCTCGTTACCACTAAAGTCACGTTCAAGCAGAGCTATCATGGCGGCGGCTGCTACGGAGGATTTGTCGCACTTTGTGTTATATGCATTAAGCTCTTTCTTCTTTCATTTGACTCAGCAAATTGATTAACAAGGACCACAACGAGAACTATTAACATTGTATTATTTTCGATATATGTCTTTTCGTAAGTCATTTACCTGAAGAATAGTCGTAACATATTGAAAAGTATGAATCTTCGACATGGTATCTCAACCACTTCCGCCAGCATAAGAAACACTTGCCGACCCGGACTGAACAGACAACATCCAAAGTAACAGGGTCGAAATAACGTGTTTCTGGACTCCATCGAGGCTAATAAAGACGCTAAAATTTCCTGTACTTCGTAAGCTCTTTCCACGTGCAAGACTGAGCGCAAATATGAATATTAATTTTGAAAATGATTTGTAATTCAAATGAGTTTTCCGACTGCAAAAGGCGGGTTCAAAGTAATCGACTCCGAGTATATCAGGCTGATCCGTTCAACTGAAAACGAAGTAAGATGCTTCGCTCTAGACAGATTTTCAACTTAAGAGAGAGGAAGAGAAAGAGATACTTTGAAAAACTTTAACAAACAGACTAAAACCTCAGCTCCTTAAAAACCTTTGAGTATTTCAAATTAATACTCACTCGCATTAGCAAAGCTTAACCATTTACGAAGCTTTAAGTGTAAAATATTTTAAAAGTGAATTTCAAAAATACATCGACCAAACTCCATATCTAACGAGAAAAGTAAGTACCAGACATTCATCTTTGGCTTTTAAGACTTAACAGCCCTTTTCTGTCCAGTTGAGCGTCCTTACATACATTTTCTCTTCGTTTGTGATGTCTGCAAAGGTGTACTTTGATCAGGGTTGGAGCGAAAGGAATGAAAAACCACCTTGATAATTTAGGCGTCCGGTCAGACACAACAGACGACATTTTGAACTATATTCGATTCCCTCTGTCTACTCGGGAAAAAATGTTCGCCTTAGTCCTATCTCTTTAGATATATGAACAGAAGACAGCAGCACGACTCTGGGGACAGAACGAAACTTAGTAAGGACGGCAAGGGATAACACGTTGAATCCAAGTTTAATACATAAATTAATCAGAGCGAAGCGAGTATGAAACTATTTACCTAACATCTCATGTCCACGAGGTAAAAATTGAAAGCTCGATTTTCGCCGCTCTCTCGTGTCCAGTCTTCGCTCCTGGGTTCGGGGGGAGGACATTCTCGAACAGCAGCTGGTAATCGAGCCTAAAAAAAGTGTTTCTTTACGATACCGTACTTAGAGTTTTTCCGTGATTCGCCCCTTCTCTAAATAGCAAGTGAGCAGGCTCCCAACATAAGCGCTTCGGGACTAGCGTTTCTTTGCCTGCGGGAAAGTATGAAGCCTTCAGCAACGCGAACCTGCAAGAGGTTCTCAAGAGGTCCAGCTGAAATTAGTGCCAGACCCTCGGCAAACCTCTCCCCGACTCGTCTCAATCTTCCCGCGAGCGGAAAACACGTGTTCTGCAGATCCAATGAGGGACTGCTCGGATGCTGCGACTGAAAGAGCTCATAAAAACACAAGCTTCCTTTTTTTTAATTCGTAAAAATTTATTTTCAATCCTTCTTCAGTTTCATAAATTAGTTAATTATTTTAAAACTCAAACAAGCGACCGCCATAGACGGCGTACCTCTAGTTGAAAAATAAAATTTCCCTGAGGGAAAGAATGATCTAAAGTGTTATCTGTGATGGAGCTGAAATACGTAATATTTGTCGTTGCTGAAAGCCTTTTTAAAAGGCGCTGGATTGTCCATTAAAACGCTACAGCAGCTCGGTCGAGACCTGTTTTCTTCGTCTTCTAGGTCCCAGATGTCGACCATGCCACAGCCAGCTCTGCAGAAAAAAAACATGTTAATGTTAATTAATACATCAGTTCAATCAATTTTTAATTAATTTTAGAGCAGGAATTGAGAGGTTAACCTCAACGACCAATCAGAACAAAGGTTCATGTTATCATTAGCCAATGAGAACTCAGAATGAAAACAAGCAAACTGTCCAAACTGCCTGAAGCGCGGAAAAACGCGAATGACCGAGGCACGATTCTTTGAAGCTTTGTATCTGATTGGTTGAGAGGATTGCGCAAGTTTCTGGACCAATCACAGAGCAAAGTTGAGTAAATCCCGCATTACTTTCATCCCTACATTGAAAATTGCTCTTAGAAGGAAGGTTGGGATTGCATTGATTGCATTCGAAACAAATATATTTACTTCGGTCTTCCTCTGCACCACTGAATGTCAACAACCACATGGGTAACTTTCATGGAATTCAGAGTTTGCCAAACTACAGTTGGCGGCTTCCGGCTGAAAATCTGATACACTTTGTGAGTTCTCTCTCTACAAGAAATGAACGGAAGAAGATTGTGAGTTAAATTTGAAAGATTTAGTGGCCACATTTTCTGGAATTTACAAAATATATATTTTTGCTCTCAGGTTAATCCTAACCCTAACCCCCCTCCCCTCCCCTGGATGGAATGCTACTCGATTGCAGGCAATCGATGGTAGTTCATCTGGTTTACCCAAAAGTTTACCGGATCCTATCGAGAATCCTAGTAGGGTAAAGGAACTGTCAAAATAAAGTGCCTTGCTGTAGAACACAACACTTTGTTAACCCCATCACTCCCAAGATCTCATAAGTACTTAGTGTTTGCCAAAAAATTTTTAAGAAGTTAGTTCAAAGAGTTTGGTATTAATTAGATCAACCAGTAATCCCCTAACTGATAGTTTTCTATATTCTCATTACTTGTCTGCTTGATATTGTATCGATAATGTAAGGAGAAATGATTTTTTTGGGAGTTACAGGGTAAAAACTGGTTTACGCTTTGAACAAGAAAGAAGGTCGATTTCGAGCTTGGTCATGATATAGGGGAAGATGTCATTGGTCTTGACACGGGCCTGGGACGAAGGAAAAGTATCTGTCCCCTAGGGGGAACTGGACCCCAGACCCTCGGATTCCGCGCTCCGATACTCTACATATGAAACATATGGACACGTAAACTCGCCAAAGTTCAACATAGAGACTTAGGCCACTTAGGAGATTGAAATCGTTATTTAAGGTTAGAGCAGGTTACCTTATGCCAACGTCTTCATAGTGAGGATGGTTAACAATGGCTCGTCCGGTGCACAATTTGACGGTTGCCATGGTTGGCATGGCACCAGCAAAAACAGCAGCTACGTGAAGAAACAAATAGCATGGTCACATAGAGAAATTTCCATGAATTTGGGTCCGGCCACACTGAAAGAATAGGTCCTTGCCGGTGTAAATGGATGACGAGTGCTCGCGTTCGAGTTGCTCTGCATCGTCTCTTGAAAACCCTAAAGATTGGAGTTATTGTAAATTTTCGTCTGCAATATTCGGCGCTCAAGAATTCCGCGACACTGCATGACTACTTCATACACGAACAAAAAAAAACTCGTTTTATCCAAAGGGCAGGGTAAGTTCAACCCTTTTCGTTCAAGAACGGGAAGAACAGAAGGGTGGCAAATATCTGTCCACTTACGAGCGAACAGTTAAGAGATTTTGTATAAGGTGATTGTTAATAAGTATATGCAGTCCGTACACTCCGTGAAGCTGTCTACGTTAAGCGTAGCGCTATCTTCATGTCAACTTCCCAGAAGAAACACGTGGAGCTAAATCTGTAATTCTGTCAAAAAGGGGCATCGAAAAATGGCCTTTGTATTGCACTCCCTAAGGAAGAAAGGTCGTAGTAACAGGTATTGAAGTACTGCATCATTCACAGAAACTGATACTGACGTTTTACCGAAATGTATTCCCGCTCTCCCGCCCCAGTCCCTGACTAAACAAACAAACACAAGACAGAAATCACAGAGTTAATCAGACTCATTTTACATGTATTTGTTACTCACTTTTGGGTGTCCTGGTGTTGATCCACTCAACCTGTAATGATATAATTCAAGATGTACAAACTCACCGACATCAAAAACAGCGCAATCGATTATGTAGAAAAATCTAAAGTGCAGATTACAGCTACTGCTTCTCCTGTTTAAGCACGTTGATTTGTTTGGTTTTTGATCTTTTAATGCTAAAACAAATGCGACGATTTGGTTTTAGATGTTATTCACTGAATGACTCAGGCATACTCGGAGAAAAAAAAATTCCGAGGGCTCTTGACGGGAGTCGAACCTACGACCTTCGAAGTGGTACTTCAGACGTTCTACCACTGCGCTATAGGAGACCGGCGTCTCCTATAGCGCAGTGGTAGAACGTCACAAGGCTTGTGGCTGGCTAGGTCGTTTAACTAGGTCCATGCTGACAAACTTCCTCCTTACTGCTAGGATAGAAATGTCGAATATCATGCTTTTGCGCGATGATGCCGTTGATGAAGATGGTAAATGTGAAACGTGGTTAGTTAAGTGAAAGATGATGTTATTCGTTGAATAACAAAGGCATACTCAGAGAAAAAAAATGTCAGAGTACTACTAAAAGGAGTCGAGATCAGTTATTTTTATTAGGTTTTGTTAGTCTTTTTTAATGTCTACGCACTCAATTCTTATAGTTGATGATGGAATCATTTCCTAGCAACTGAGTGAGTAGAGGTCGTTACTTACCAGTGCCTCTTGTTCTGGGTTGTTGTACTCTCCCTGTGTCGCCTGAGTTAAAATAAGGAAACATCAACAATTTTTTATCGACTTCTTCCAACTGCAACGATATCAAAAGAAATGCTGAACTTCTTTGACGCGATCAAGCATTACATAACATCAGATCTTTGAACGACAGGCGCGAGGAACAGTGTTATCTCAGTCGTATCTAATAATAGATTGCATCTACCACCAGCCAATAACATTAGCAGATACAATTTAGAAACCAGCCAAACATGCGCACTAATCGTTACACGAACACATTCATTCATGTTTAATCGGTAGAACTTTTGCGCGTAGTTTTTTTTATCATCATGTTAAATCTTAAATCACAATAACTTATCATTTTATAAATGGTCATATAACTTTAACTTTTTGTAAATTTGAATAATTCAATAACCTATCCATCTATCTTTCTATCTATCACTGATTAAGTGGTAGAGTCTGTTAACCCTTTTACGCCTGAGGGTGATTAACATCTAACTTCTCCTCACAGTATCAACACTGAATCAAACATTAAGGTCAAGAGAATGAAGCAAATGATCGCCATCTAAAGAAGCCTTTGATTTTTTAAACAATTTCTCCTTGTTAGCACCTTAAGAAGTGCATAGGGAACAGTTTGGAGAAAGAAAGGCACAGAAACGACATCGTATCCAACCGCTGATTGCAGAAGTTTACGAAAACACTTTCATAGGTTTATCACATACATGAAATAGTGATAATAATAAATACTCACAAACTGAGTTTGTAGGTTCATGATTCCTTGAACAGACATGGCAGCAATCAGGACCACCACGGCTGCTTGGTGCTTTCGCTTGTCGCAAATGAAACCAAACAACTGAAACAGAGGAAGACAAACTCGACGCTGTACATCTTTTCGACAGAACATAAATTGCTTTGACTTATTTTGACGCGCGCTCCTCTCTTATTCAAAATCACGCATAGTAAGCCGGGTGTTTATCAAACGGCTGGCTGCGTGATAACGCAAGATGAAGCGAATCTTGGATTCCGATCGGCAACAAGAGTGGGCAATATGGGCTGATATCGCCTTCATTCTATCTCAGAGAAATAAAAATTCCCTGTGTTAGTTATTATCGCCGGTTTAAATGCCTCCGTCATAACCTTTGGGACAACCCTTCGATTACAAAAGATATTCTTTGACAGTTTTGAAACCAATGGCATCGCAAAACAAGTGTTGAAGACAGTCAAAACAGAGGGAAAACCATGATGATCTTCGTTAATTTATTTTGCAATTAAATGTCTTAATCTTCTTGCAAAAAGCTGATATTAAACCCACATTTCACGCAAATACGATGGAATGAGTATGGAACACGCGTTATTGAACTATCATCCTTAACAAGGTCAGGAGGAAATACATTTTCATCTTTCTTGTAACGTTCGCTTGTTTAAAATGATTAAATAAGAAAAATACCAGTGGATATAAATTTGAATTACCTGTCTAGAGGCCAGAAGGGACGCCATGACACACAGAGCTGGGGTACCAAACAACTTCAGCCGCATAATGATGATCGCCATGGCAACGAATGCCAGCGACTGCAGCACGTGATAGAGATGCTAAGAGAATAGGAGGGAGGATACTTAGTTAGGATTTTCTATTGGCAATGAGAGAAGGGGCGGGGAGGGGGGGCAAATGAAAACCCCCAGGGTCGATCAGATACCGAGCAGACAAGTGATGAGAATAAAGAAAAATATCAATAAAGGGATTATTAGTTGATTCAACAGTAAATTCTTAGAGTTAAAATCAGAAGAAATGTATGGAAGACGGTCAGGAGATCTTGGAAATGATATGTTTAGAAATAACACAGCGAGGCGCACAAGTTTCTATCCTTACCTCCGCGTGAGGTTTAAGATTCACTCCCTTCCTACAAAAAAATGAAACTTTAGTTAATAACCTCTTCTTTAACGTATGTTATTAAATAGCTGACCGCAAAAATAATACCCGAAACAACGCTTAAATATGTTATTATTTTCTTCATAGAAGCTGCTTAAACCGATGTTTGTCATCTTCAAATTTAGTAAATTGAAAATTCAAGTTAGTGACTACTTGAATCCAATGAAAAATTCTTAGAGAAGGTAAGTTTCTAAAGAAACTGTGGTGCTGCATCGGTGGGAGAGTATAACAAGATAATTTGGTTTTATCAACGGAGATGATAATGTAAATTGGCCTCCCTAGAGAGTTTCTAACTTGACGTCTCAAGCGTTAGCCCTTCGTCATTCGCTCTGACGAAGGGCTAGCGCTCGAGACGTCAGCTTCAGCAACTTTTTAGGAAGGCCAATTTATATTATCAACTTCGTTAATAAAAACAAATTATCTTGTCGTGAAAAATTCTGTTTTTCAGTTCTCTGTTTATGATTTTAATTCAGTTAAACCAGGTTTAACTACACATGTTGTGTTGGTGTGAATGGGGTTCTAACATTAGTGGTGTCTGTCTCGAAGAAAAACTTTTCAGGAAGTCTTACTTGAAGTCGTCTGTTTCCTCCTCATCCGATTCAGGGTCTGACATTTTAGGATTTTCTTTCTTGTCTTTTGTAGCCATCAAGGTATTCCACTCATTCTTCAGAATCTAAAACGGAGTTTAATGGACTTCTATCGTTATTGGAATGCGATTAATTACAACTGCTTCAAGAAAGGTTTTCGAAAAAAAAAGCGTAAAAGCGCACGCGATAACCCCTAAAGGTATTGTGGGTAGCTTTTAGGTTACGACTACTTGACCTCAGGATTTCAGAGAAATCTGAAGAAAACGTTATTGTAAAGATGATGAATTTATCTATTTCTTTCACTTATTAAAAATCATTGATTACCGGATACCCTGATTAGCTTTCGAGATTGTCATGTGCACTTTTTTCCTTTTTTCTGACAACAACCTTTCTAGAAACAGCTCTAAACAAATGACCCTATTGATAAAAACACTTAGATATAGTGACATGAAACTTTACAAACATCATTTTAAATCATGAGCTTTCATAATGCTTCGTGAGAAAAACTGCATCGTAAAATTATTTGTTCATAAAATTGGATTTCACTCACAAGCAAGATTTTAAAGAAAGACCCTTTTTAATAGAAGAATTTCTCAATGACAACCTTTTTTGGTTTAGATGAATTGAAGACACTGGTCAAGTAGACTATGAAGGATTTCAAGGAAACTCTGCTTCGGCAAATTAATAAATCAATGAGAAGATTTCTATGCAGCATACAAGTTTCCCTTAAAAAACAACCTTGCCAAGGAAAACTTGTGTGGTCAGTACCACTTAATCTTACAAATTGTTGCTAAAATATTGTGCAACTTTATTGACTTTTTACCTTCAGTAAAACAGCTGTAAAAGATACAATTGCAGCTGGTAACAGCAACGTCTTGGTCAGCTTTGTCGGATTCTATTTGGAAAAACAATGAAACAGATGATTTGGATAAAGCCCTCCCTAAAAAGCTATGGTATCCGTCTGGAAGATCGAGTTTCTGATGAGAGAATGTGTTTAGGCTAATGTGTTTGACACAAAGTGCGAAAAAAACCAACAAGAGCGTGTCGCCCATACCGTGCCGTGGAACATACAAAGGCAAACTCAAACAATGAGATATCCGCGAAGTCTTCCTTTTCGGCGACATTGAACGGATTACCCATTGTCCACGACATTAACAACGCTTTTTAAATTCTTAAAACATTTCTTAGTAACAATTCATGGCATAGAATACAAAAACGCATGTCAAATAAAGTTATTGAAGTAGAACACTTGAAAGATAGTGGAATTGTCGCTTCTCACTAATTTCGGAAGGAATAAGCAGGAATGAGAATCCCAGCTCATAGTAACAAAGTCTGGTTTAAGACGGTCGACTAAACATTGGCTTTCCTCTATTCTTATTGCAATATTTTCTACGACACGAAATCAAAATGCGAATAAAGCAAAAGCAGAGTGACTTGTGGTGTAAATGAATAGTTGCGGAGACTAATTCAAACGATCTCGGCCATCATATGTCCACTCTGGATTACATATATGTTATGTTGAAGTTAAAGAATACAATCAAGGTGAATGAAGAGTACACATGTCAAAATTAATGAATCTGCTGTAAGGAGCTTCTCTCTAATCTGAGAAAATTGGCTGATTTTTCACAGATGAAAAATTCTTCACCTCACAAAGAACAAGAGATCACCAACCTCTGGATCTAAAAAGTCGAATTCTGGTGCACACGTGTACAAAGCCGTGTCAAAATTCCTGAAGCTGGAGAACTTGGAACGTAAAATACTTGTGATGTGTGCCTGAGAATGAAGGTAAACGAAGAAACAATAAAACAGTGATAAAGTACAATTAGAAACTATGGGGAATTTTTAAAAGTATCTTCCCTTTACACCCTAACATCATTCTGCATATTCTCCATACTGTTCTCTATACATTTCCTTAGGTGCTAACAAGGAGAATTTGTTTGAAAATTAGAAGCTTTTTAATTTTGCGATGACTTCCTTTTGTCTCATTACCTACACATTTGATTCAGGGGTGATACTGTGAGGAGAAAAGCACTGAGAAGACAGACACTCCTGAGGGTTAAGGGTTAAGTTCTCTATTTAAGGAATTCTTCCGCAGTAGTATGAAAAGTCGTTCACTGAGGAAAAATCACTGTTAACAGGGAGTGTACCCCCTGATCGCTGCTGTTCGAAAGATGCACCACATATAACTTATTTACCCGCACAAGCGCTACTGTGCTCATTAACAAGAGAGGTATTTTATCTTAACTTATTCCGGCATGAATCGAAGAAATTTGAAGAGAGCAGTGCTATTTCATTTGGAATACGCAAATTAAAGAGACTAAAATATCTTACATCATCTGCAATTCCCAGGATCTTTGCTATGGCGATCTTGATTCCTACAGATCCAGTAAGGAAGATGACAGCCTGGGCAGCCTGTGACATATCATTAATCAGTTCTCAACAACAACAAAAAATGATAAACTGCAACTGCTTTTAAGATTGTCTGTAAGACACGTTTCTCTTTTCATTTAATAAGTTTATGGTAAACTGCTGTATTATGGTGATGTTCATGTAGAAACCTACAGATAAAAGAGTAAAGAAACTACAGAAGCTAAGAGTGCCGAGTAATGTGGTGTAATTTTTTTTTTGCTGTCGCTGTTCGTGTTTAGTACAGTCGCTGTAACTCGTTTTTTCCTTAGCATCTGCTAGGCATGCTATACAAAGGTAGTATCAAGTGTGCCTCATGTCTACTTCATAAATAAGGGCTTGAAACTCGCGTTAACGCTCAAGAACATTTCCTTAGAAGTTCAATCACAGATCACACTTTTTTTTTTTCACCTACCCATATAACAAGCTGATGGGGCAGTTGGTAAATAAACGGCTCAAGATTGGCAATGATCTGTGTTGTAATAAAAATTAAACAGAACAAAATGAAAAAAAATTACTGTGTAACTGTCCATCAATAAATAAAAACGAAGAACACACTTTGGAGGGTACATATTGCGAGTCTATAACAGCCTACTAAAGCACAAAGGAGTAAATTCTACATCCACGAGACATGATACTCCATCGCAAGTCGCTCCTTCCCCCCCACCTCTCCCTCAGAAAAATGTGAAGTTTTCATGAAAGTTCGACGGTATCTACTTATACTTAGAGCGGCTGACACCTTATCTCCCATAATCATCGTCGTCTTTACTCGATTGAACAGCGATTGATAGCGTTTCTGACAATTAAGCGTTTCGGATGCAGCGTTTATCCACGAACGGGTTTTATTCAAATCGAGGGCGTGTACTTCAGAATCAAATTTCTTGAACACCGAATATTAGAGATCATTTCTAACTATTATCTACAACAGAAGCACGTCTAAGGTTCCAAAGTCTCGCTTTTTCGCCGGAATAGAATCGAATTTGTCTTCCTTGTGATAGGCAAAATTTAGATGATGCAAATTACCGATAAGTACCGTACTTGTAATGCTTTTATCGTTATCCTCGAATAAACGCTACATGTTTCTGATTGGAAGCGCCGTATATTCTTGGGCAGCTTTTATAAGGACATGTAGCTTCTCTTCCACCTGCAGCGCTTATTTGTGGGCGGCATTACACCGGGCAAAAACAGCTTACGGTCATTTATTGTATAAATAGAGAAGATTCACTTTAATCAATGAGTTGAGTGCACTTTTGTTCTCAAAAAATTCTGAACATACTCACCAAAGTTGTGATGAGGGCCGACAAGAAGAATGAGCTGATGGTTTAAAAAGAAAGATTCGATCAGTTTCAAAGAAAAACAAATGATACAACGACCACTAAAACACAATTGAAATTCCATAAAAAGGCATTCGTTTCTAGGCGGTGTCAGACTCTCAACCAGAGGAGACGAGCGAACATTTGGGGCGCGCAATAAAACAAGCGGATGTAAAGAAAAATTGCAACGCAACTGTCTCGTTGATGGCCACAACCTCCGCGTCCACTTGTTTGCCATCTTTCGCGCACCCTTCTTTTCGCTCGTCTACATTTACTAAGATCCTACCAAGCTGAGTCACCTGATGAAACTCTACTTTAAAATTGAAAACTAACGTTTAGGAAGTCTCTCCTCTATAGTGTTTACATTTCTATGTACTGTAGTGGTGAGAATATGTAGTTTTATCAAGAAAGCACCCTACTGTTGATAATTCTCGTTTTTCTCATTACCTGTCTATGCGACAATGTACTTAAATTGTAGGAAGAAGTTTTATGTTTATCACTCCTCTGAGACGAAAACCAAACTGCATACCTCAGAAGCATGGAGTTTCCAAACTGAATCACAAAATTTAATAAATGTCCCACCTGCATATGATAGATAAGGAACAGTTTTGAATTAATTTCGTCCCTAAACTTGACACTAATTTAAATCTTTTTTTTGTTGTTGTTGTTCATCGAGAACGGATAGACTATGAACTACAAAAACTGACACACAGTTATTGATAAACTAATGGATGTACCAAAAATGAAGAAATTACATACCAGCAATCCATATAACACAATGCACAGTTTACGGGAAGTGATAAACTTAAGAAAGTACAGTCCAAACAAGGCACAAGTCTGCAACAAAATACAGTTTTCTCCTTTAAATACACTTGTCACAATATTGAATAAGTAATTGAATGTACAATCTAAAAAAGTTTGTTCCTTTCTGCAATGTTCTTCAAGCTCACTTTAAACAAAGAATTAAAAAATGGATAAAAAAAACTTCACTCAAATGTCATTCATAATCAGTTCTTTGAGTTTATCTAACCCAGTGAGAAGCTAAAGCTATAAAATTTCTAGTAAGCCTTGGATCATAATAAGGTGCACATTTTATGGGCATCTCCATAAGGTTTTCCACCCCTAAGGACAGCCAAAAAATCATGAAGACCTAAGACTCCACCACCTTTTACCATGAGTATGTACAAGAATCTTTCACTACTATGTATACTACTGCAATTACCCACCTGTGTTAGCAGTGCAAACTGAGCAAACTGGAAAAAAAGGAGAGAGAACTTTCTTTATCAATAATCAAATAGTCAAAACAGATAGTAAATAAGTTTAAGAGAACAGAGGACAAAATTATTTTAAATCAATTCATGAAAAAGTATAAAATAAAACGATATGCATGTCCTGCTTTGATCAAAAGAAAACAGTTTTATTCTTTTTCAAATTTTAAGGAAGCAAAACCTCTAAAAATTTGTCATCTACCAACAGGTGTTACTGGTAACTAATAAGTTCACATTAAAAACCCATTTTTCATTAACTTAAAAATTATTAAAAATTATTATCTTACTGGCCATAATTTATCCTTACAAAATTATTATGTTACTGGCCATAAAGACAAAAATATCATTTAGGGGATATCATTTGATTTCATGTCAAATTATCAGTTCCAGAATTACAGAGAATTTATTGATAACTGATCTTTAGATCATCAGAGTGAAAGTTTTGATCATACCCCCAATGATTAGCCATACCTGCCATGGAATCATGAATAAGCTTGTTGTTATGGCAACTAATGATAGGTGTCTCCAGTCAGCCTTAGGTGACCTAACAAAAAATAAAAAAGAAAGACATGTAAATTCTGTGATAATATTTTATTACTGACATGTATAGGGGGCTTATTATCTGCATAATTTCTGGGTTTAGTCACATAAACTAAGTCAAACTCAGACTGGTGGCAAACACAATTAAGAAATGTCTTGCTAATTTAAAAGAATAAATTTCATTTCATTTGCCCTGCAGCAGGGCTTCATTTTCTCAGACTTGAGAGAGTTCTAGTAGCACTTTGCTGTTCAGTCGTGTTATAATCATCATTACTCCAGTAAACTGTTCCTTCCTCTCCTTGTGGCATATGGGACCACAAGCATTTTATCAATAGTCTAGAATAAAAGATCTACAACTGATGACTTACTTAATTGTTAAGGTAACAGCCAGAAGTTGGAAGACAAGAAAAGGATATGAAAAGCTTTCTCGTAGGGGTGGTGTCCACATAACTCTGGTGCACTGATTAAAAACAAAATAAGTTTAATCAGAAACACATCTCTTTCTTGAATTTAACAATTCTCAGATCATCCACAAACACTTATTGCATTTGCATAGCTTGCACCATAATCATCCTGAGTAGATCCATATTCACATTACTTCACATCAAAGGATTTCTAACAAGTATCTTCATATAGGTTGTGAAATTGGTAAAGTTTGAGCTCAGTTTTAACCCTTTAACTCCCAACATCCAATTAGTAATTCTCCCCACTAATTGCCATGTTGTTCCTTGTATATTAGACAGGAGGATTTGGAGGTATATCAAGATAACACCCTAAAGCCTATAAGCTTTTCATTTCTCATAACCTGTTTGTAAGGTAACATACTAGAATTTCAGTGAGAAGTTACAAGTTGATCACTTCTAAGGCAAGCTCCCACTAGAAATAAAACCTTGTACATAAACATAAACATAAACCACCCATCAATTTGAAGCTTCAATATTCCACCCCCTCTTCAACCAGGCAACCCACAGGCATTTCATTGTCATCCAAGCAAATTCATCCCCATTCAAATTCATCCATGAATTTAAACCGGTAGTATCATGTCTTTCCAGCAGAATATGAGTGCTATATCTTTAAATATGGAGAATTGTACGAGTGAAAAAAGAAAGATCACAGAAAACTTTGAGATTGGTTGGCAACTAAAGTTTCTTGTGAAAATTGTCCCCTTCCCATACTTACCTCACCATGATTATACAAGTATGACAATGTGCCTATAAGTCCACCAAGAATACTGCCACTAGAAAATAAAAGTTTAAAATCTGACAGTTAATAAAATAATGTGTATTTCAATCAAGTGCTGTTATACAGAAAGTTAAAGACTAACAAACACAAGAGTAGAAAAGGGGGATCAGTCGGAACTTAGCATCGATACAACAAGTGGAAAATGCAGTGGCCTAATTGTCAGTGCACTGGATTCCATGTTGAGAGGTCCGTGTTTGAGGCCTGGCCCGGAAAATGTGTTGTGTTCTTGGGCAAGACACTTTACTGTCACAGTGCCTCCCTGAACCCTTTAACTCCCATGAGTGACCAAGACAGAATTTCTCCTTACAATATCAATACAATATCAAGCAGACAAGTGATGAGAAAGAAGAAAAATATCAATTAGGGGATTATTAGTTGATCCAATACTAAATTCTTTAAACTAAAATTACAAGAATTGTATAATAGACAGTAAGGAGAATTACTAATGAGATCTTGGGAGTTAAAGGGTTAGGGGCACACTTAATTTGGAGCCTCACTCTGTTGTGTGTCCTGCACCTTCATGGTGAAAGCAATTAAAAATAAAAAATAAAAGACCTTGTGCAAGAAAATTTAAGTGACCAAGTTGTGATCTGTTTTTACTTGTCAACAGTTTACTTGAGTGGCCAGCATGAGTTATGTGAAGCAATTTCAGAACAAATTAATTGAAAGCAAATCAAAAAATTTTGGCTAGGAAATTTGTATTCATTGTAATCCTGCAACAAAGCTGACTCTACTGAACTCAAACATAAAAACTCCAAGCTTGAATGTTGCCAGGGTGAATATGCAGTATGTAGGTAATATGAATGAATGGATACAACAGAAAAATATAGAGGACTTGTAACAGACCTGCAGTGTTCTCTAAAATAAAGGAGCAGTTAGTCACTGGCTCTTTAATTAATCTTAAATATCTGCATTTAAGTTTCATGTTTTCAATTCAATTTTATTATCATATGTAGACCTTAAAAACAAGTACTAAAAGGCCAACAGTTCTGGAACAGTCATATCATCTTTTACATAGCTGACAGCACCTGTGGGCAATATGGTGCAAATCTTGTGTTTTGATTGGTTACCTAGTAAGCAGGCAAGATGGGCACATCTTGCTCTCTCAGAAATACCTGCTTCGATCCCATGAGAAAGTGAAAGTGGTAGAAAAAAACAAACAAACAAACCAAGAAAAAATATTAAATGACTCTTGTGGGTTTATTGTGTTGGGAACATGGCTGGCTTTCTTTCCCAGCTCTCAAAAAAAAAAAAACAAGTCATTCTTTATTCTTATCAAAGTGAAATATTTTTGCTAAGTAATGAATCTTTTATTGACCAAGTTTGTTGGTCAAAATAGCTGGATGTTTGTCTTGTTCCTTTTTTGCATAAGCCTTGACTTCATCTCCATCCATGAAAACACACAAAAAAAGAAATTGGTCAATATCCAGCCATCTTGACCAAACAAGCTTAATCAATAATGCAGGTAATTTAGTGTTAACAACTGGGTTGAAAACGTAAATTAGCCACCGTAAAGGGTAAAAAAGCTGACGTTTCGAGCCCCCTCTGACGAAGGGCTAACGATCGAAACGTCAGCTTTTTTACCCTTTACGGTGGCTAATTTACTTTTTCAACCCAGTTGTTAACACTAAATTACCTGCTATACTCTCCCACCGACGCAGCACCACAGTTTCTTTAGAAACTTACCCCTTTATTCATTAATCAATAATGCATGTGTATCTTATCTTTAGCAGATCAAATATCTATTACACCCGAAAAAACAACCTAAGACCATTGATGAGAATCATATCTAGTCATGACAACACAAAAAAAAATTTACCTGAGATAAAAGCAGAGCAAGAAAAACATGGATATCATGAGTCCACTTAAATAGAAGATAGCATAAACATAGAAGAATGACAGCTCCCCCATACCTAAAAATTAAAAAAAAAAACAGAATTATGCTATCAAATACAAACCATGAGAAATTTCACTTTGCACAGATGCAACAATGAGCAGAATATTACCAATACAGTCCTTTGGAAGCAGACAAATCACATAAAAAGGGGAGAAAAACTGTTAACCCTTTATACCCTAATATCAGTATGTATAGTCTCCATAATGTTCTTGATACATTTCCTTTAGTGCTCACAAGGAGAATTTGTATAACAATCAATGGCTCCTTCAGTTGGTGATCATTTCCTTTATTCTTGTGACCTAAATGTTTGTTTCAGGAATGATACTCAGGAATGAACTCAATAAATTGACCTCGCTCCCAATGTGTGGCTTCATAGCTCAGTTGGTAGAGCATCGCACCGGTATCGTGAAGGTCACGGGTTCGAATCCCGTTGAAGTCCTGATTTTTTTTTCAGGCTTCTTCTTTCCAATTGCTTAAATTGGAAAATTTACTGCGATGATCACATTTCACTTTCATCTACAACCGCAGTACAAATATGAATTATTTCATATAAACTTCACATCATTTCACTGCACGGGAAGATATGAACTCAATAAATTGACCTCGCTCCCAATGTGTGGCTTCATAGCTCAGTTGGTAGAGCATCGCACCGGTATCGCGAAGGTCACGGGTTCGAATCCCGTTGAAGTCCTGATTTTTTTTTTTTTTTTTTTTTCAGGCTTCTTCTTTCCAATTGCTTAAATTGGAAAATTTACTGCGATGATCACATTTCACTTTCAGGAATGATACAGTTGGGAGAAATAAGATGCTTAATCAAGTCGCTCTTAGGGGTTGAAGGGTAAAGCAAGGCAAGTTTTGAATTGATCGGCAGAGTTTGTCTGAAAAATAATACCAGCAAAACATTACATTTAGGGAAATCAATAAGCATATTGTTTGTATTTCTTACCCTCACAGCTTTGTACAGGAGGTTGGTTGTAACCTCTGTTAACAGTATAGCATGTCTTGGTGTGGATATTAAAACTTGCGGTTAACCAGTCATACATGCGGAAAGCAAATCCTAACACAACCTGTAGGCAAAAAGGAACTATATTTACATACAAAGGCTTTTCTTGACCAATAATTAGCAACAAAAGGGTTGAGACATGTAATACCTACTTAATCTTTAACTCCCATGAGTTAACAAGACAGAAATTCTCCTTAAAATAACTATACAATAGCAACCAGATATTAAGTGATGAGAATAAAGAAAAAGACCAATTTGGGGATAATAAGTTGATCCAAAACTAAATTCTCTAAACAAACATTATAAGAATTGTATGGTTGACAGCAACAAGATTTACAAATTTGATATGTGAGTTAAAGGGTCAAAGAAAGCAATAATCCCTGCAGGTAAGCTGAAATTCAAATAATTGCAGTAAAGAAGCCTGGAAAAAAATCAGGCTTCAACAGGATTCAAACTGACACCTCTGAGGTAACAGTTGGGCAATACTAGCAACTAAGCTATGGAAAGGTTAATTGTTTTATATGTATTATCAACTGAGTTTACAACATAAATTGGCCACTGTAAATAGTATAAAACTTTTTAAAGTGGCCAATTTACTTTATCATATCAGTTGATAATCATTAATTACCCTGTTATATTCTCCCACTGACACAGCACCATTGTTTCCTTACAAACTTATCTCCTTTATTCATTAACCCTTTAACTCCCAAGATCTTGTCAGTAATTCTCCTTACTGTCTGTCATTGTGATCTTAGTGTGGAGAATTTGGTATTGGATCAACTTATAATCCCCTAATTGATATTTTTCTTCATTCTCATCACTTGTGTTCTTGACATTGCATTCATATTGTAAGGAGAAATTCTGTCTTGGTCATTCATGGGAGTTTAAGGGTTAAGCTACAGAAAGGCATATGTTGGAAGCAGGCCACATAATTTCATATTTTCTTTCCTTCTCTCAGTTTGATTCAAGTTTATCTTACCCTGTATTTTATTATTTAAATAATGCATCAGTTAAGGCTAAGTAAACTTGAGTTTTTTTTCCAAGTTGCAAGAAACAAGGTAAACCCAAATTAGTAGAGTTAACAGGTATACATGTACCATCAGTTTTTCTTTAGAGTGTTGCATTGTTGAAGGAGTTCACTCTTTAGTAAGAGTCCTGCTAATCCACTTAGTCATGAACCAAATTCCTTTTTACTTACCTCTGGATATAAATTAAACCTTTTCAGAGTGTTGATGGTGTCTGGATATTCTGTTACATTGCAATTCATAACAGAATAAACTCCATCAAGGAATGTTGGAGCTTCCACAATAGTTTTGTAATATGAATAGTACAAGCCCTGTTTGGATAAAACATATCATTTAATCATACATTGTTGTTATACTTTCAAATAATCATGAAACCATAAAAAAGCTGTCAAAATATTTACTGGTAACTTCAGAGAAATAATTTGCTTCTTCCAAAGGTCCTGAGCGACTACTAGTTTTTAATAGTCTCATTCTTTTTCTACAGATTTGGAGGATGGAAAAACTCTGCATGAATCTTAACAGCGTCTTAATATATCATACTCCTTTAATTGCAAATTTCAAAAACTAATTTGCTTATTGTAGTGCAGTGAAAGACTGCTTTATGAGTTAATTTATATATAGCAGTAGCAGTGCTGGCTTTGAGGCAGTCTCATGCAATCTCCATCTTCTCTCAGTGTTAAAGTGTTATTGACCAATAAATTAGCAAAACTTGTCATGTGTTTGATTGGGAGGGTGGGGAGTGTTCCAAACTTTAAATCAGAAAAAATGGTTCTTTTTTTCACTATAGCCCAAATTACCTTAAAAAATATTTCAAAAGAAGGGAAATTTTAACACTTTATACTTAGTAGTAATATTTAATCCTGTTTTTGCAATAATTTTGGTGTCAAACAATAGTAAAAATCCTCATAACCAATGGGGAGCGGGAGAACCTCGAGACCCTCAGCGACTCCCTGGATTTGCCAATACATCTAAACATATTGCTTCAGGTACAAGATATTTACTTGAAGAATTAACCAGTTAAATTACAATGAGCTCTTGATAGTCTTAACTATATCATATTCGAACGTGGGGCCGTCATTACTTTACAATTATTCGATCCTTTCTCTTCTACATGAAAACCCCGCAGGTGTCTTCAAAAGAGAGATAAAGAACTTACCATCTCTGTCCTAAAAGACAATTCTCTTTCCAACGCTGACAAATGCGAGAAAAATCGCTCGTTTTCAAACATTCTAGACACGTGGTAGCTGAAAGAACAAAAATAAACCACCAGATGAGCGCAAATGTTTACAGTCATTGTTAAAGGTTCTAATTGCAATTTTATTGTTCAGGGTATCCTTAATATTAAAATTTCAATTCTAGTCTACCAGACGATATTGATTATTATAAATGCAATCATTTTAAAAAGACAACTTTACCTTTGAAATATTCCAAAACTCACAGCTACAGAAAAGAATCAGAAATTTTCACGTCAGGGTTATCTGGGAATACATGTCACAAAACTGAAGATATTTTAGAAATTCTCAAGCCTCACTGAACTCACGTGTAAGAAAACCTGATCCTAGGAAATAGCAAAAACTTAAGAGCACGAAATACATACCGATAATCAATACTAAAGAAGCGTAGCCGATGCCATATTTCGTAAATGGAACAATCGACGGTGAAGAATATTTAGCGTTCTGGTCTCTTTGTTTTGGTTTCATTTTGAAACGCCCGTGAGTTTTGGGTTGTGCTGTGCTTCCAGAGCCAGATTTCTGGCTCTGTTGACTAGAAGCTTGTTTTTTCTTCTTCGTGGTCATTCTGAAAAAATATTAAATGCTAACCAAATAACCAAAAATAATTTGGAGGAGCGCAATATTAAATATTTCGTGATTTTAGCGTGACTTGGTCTTTTGTCTCGCGTTCGTCTTCTGCTATGTGTGCCAGTCAGCGGCGATCACAGGCTATTTCCTGATGTGGTGTAGATGTAATTGATGTGATACTATTTGGCAAAATGGCGGATGACTCGAACAGAGTGTCTACAGTGAAGAAACATCACCAGCAGGCAAATTTAAATTATAATAGGCCAAAGTACCGAGAGGCTCGTTGGGAAAGGGCAGTAAAGGTATGTGATTGTGTTGTAGTCACTATCTTTAGTTGAGTTTTCATCATGTTTGCAAATAAACTTGGGCAAAAAAGGATCACTGGCCACTGAAGTGGCTGCATACTTGGTGTAGGAAACTATTCTGTTCACATGTGACATGGAACAAAGACAACAAAGAAATTGAAACAAAAAAAGCCTGAAAAATAGCATTTTATAAATTGGGAACAGCTTTCTACGTTCGTACAAACTGAGTTCAAATTTAACTTACCAACAGTCTATGAAACGAACTGTAGATATTGGGAAGAGGTGGAATACTGATGTTGTCGGCTTGTTGAAGAGCATCTGGGTGTGATTTGGTATAAAATACCAGGGAAAGATTTCCATATAACCTCATACTATTCTGTTATTCGTTATCCCAAAGGCATTCTATCATTTTCTTTTACCCCAGAACCACGAGCATAACAGAGTATGGGGTTTTGTGGAAATCGTGTCTATATCGGAATACACAATCCAACTTACTTGCGCTAGCGTGTGATTCACTGGAAGTTTAAAGGTTTCAACATGTGCACTGATATTAAAATGTTGGAAGACGAGAGGAACATCATATGATCTCATCCCTGGCAAAGAGGCAAAGAAGCAAGAAAGTTATATAAATCATGCTGTCTTCTCTAAAAATTAACTTGGGATGTGGGGATACGTTTTGAATAGAATGGTCTTCTTTCTCTGCTATGCTTGTATTTGTTAACCTGTGACATTGGGTGCTATGAAAATTTGAACCTTGCTCAGCTGGGGTGGGAAATTTGAACAAGCAGAATACACAAAGAGTTTGAAGGTAAAGAGTCTGCCTTTCTAAGCAAATGGCTTTGAATTGATTGACACATTACCCTGACTTGTTTTATTTTCAAGGTTTACACCATAAATCTGGAGTCAAAGTATGTTCTGGTCCAGGGTATTCCTGCTGTGGGTGCGAAAAAGGAACTCTTGGAGCTCTTTGCACTCTATGGAGCTATTGATGAGTAAGCTTACCTGATATTTGAGCAGCTTTGTTCCATAATGAAACCAGCTGATCTTATTTTCCTTTGTCTTGTATTTGTTACCATTACCTTAAACAAAAGAAAGTGAAAATCAGGCTGGTTTTAAAAATTATGAACCAGGAAAAAAAAAGGAAACCACAATTTTTAGATATATATTTACATGAGCAAAACTGTTTTCATTTGAGGGTCCAGACTCTATCAAAATTAATATTGTAGAACTTCCCTTACTGGTATCCAATTAACTTGAATCCCCTGACTCTATCAAAAATAATATTGTAGAACTTTCCTTGCTGGTATCTAGTCAACTTGAATCCCAGGTAACTCAAAACAAGGTCTGATTTCCCTTGACCCTATTTTTTCAGTTATTTACTATCAGCTAACTCTAACCCCCCCTAACCCCAGTTGGTGGGGTTCTATTGTTGAGTTCAATGACCTTTGTTCTAAAAGTGAAAGTTTGAACAAAATGGATTGATGAACTTCTATCAGAAATATCCCTTACCATATGGTAATTAGAATCATGTTAGTGCAAACCACAAAATTGAGCTGCTTGTGCAGTAATGTAAAAATGTCTCCCTTTTTTGTAAACTGGAGATATTTTCTGTTTGTTAGATCTGTATAAAAAAAAGTAACGAAAAGGAGACGTCCATTGATGCACGTATTGCTGTTCATCTTGGAATGCAATACGAATGCAAGATGGTTGCATCCTTTTGTCATTTGACACCTTAATTTCTTCGAAAATTGAAGTTTTACAATATGTTTCTTATGGAATATTTAAGGTATCGCATCTTAGATGACTACCCAACAGAACCTTTCACTGAAGTTTACTGGATCAAGTTTCAAAGAATCAATTCAGCAAGGTACTAAAAAATATGCACTACCTTTAAAAAATTGCCTAATGGTTCATTCTAGTGAAAAACAGCCAAATTCAAGTTATGTTCAGTGCTATAGGAGACAGTAATTTAGAGAACTTTTGGTTTGGACCCTGTTTATGTTTGAACTTACCCATATTGTTATAATTGTTAAAAAAAAGCCCCTTTCCATGGGCACAGAATTATTTCATTGTTTTGCCCTTGAGGACCCTTCACATGATCTGCACACAAGGCAAAGGAATACATTCTCCAAATGCCAGGTGCACAAAGTTTCAAGTCAAACGTTTGTTTCAGTTGGGGCATTTAACAAATGCTAACTGTATGTAAGAACTGAATTAATGATTTAATCAGACAAGTTTTTTAACAGTAATTCCAAAAATGTTCCAAAAATGTTACTAAGGATGATATCAGAGTACTGGTAATTTTCTCTTGTATATTTCACAATAAAAATCGTTTCCCACTTTTAGAACTGCAAAAAAGAAGTTGGATAACAGGTCATTTTTTGGAGGCATTTTGCATGTGTGTTATGCACCAGAATTTGAAACAGTTGACGACACAAGAGAAAAACTCCAAGAAAGAAGAAAAGTCATTGCCAAAAAGACAAGAGGTGAATATGATTTGAAGAAATAAATGCAATATGATCAAAATTACTGGAATACATTGATTTTAAATGAGAAGAACTATAAATGAGTTTCACTTGAAAAAATAGATTTTGTGATTTGCTTGAGCAGTCAGTGAACCCTTAACACCCTAACATCAATGTGCATATTCTCCATACTCTTTTCTACACAATTCCTTTAGCACTGACAAGGAGAATATTTTATGAACAATGAAAGCTTCTTAGTTTGGCAATCATTTCCCTTATTCTCATGATCTTAATGAATTATTCTGAATCGGAAATTTTGGTTGTGAGAAGAAGATAGATGCTGGTCACTCTGAGGGTTTAAAGGTAAAAAAAAAAGAGTACCCTTGGCTACTATCCAGTACAGGAATTTTTCAAAAGGTATGCAACTTTCTCTGCCCTTGTTTACAATGAACACACCCCCCCCCCTTGTACTCCAGACAAACAACCATTGCAAACTTTTTTATTGTGCAGTACATGTGTTTGTAGGCCCTTAATATGTGAATTGTTTATCATTACAGAATTATTTGGTGCACAAGAGAAAGCATGTACAACAAAAGTTGCACCCATTGCTGCCTCCTCAACCAAGAGGTCTAGAGAGGATTTCAATGAAACAATCTCAGCTTCATCCTCAACTGAGACTACTGCTTCAATTCCAGACCCCTCTGGTCCATCAAGAGGCTTGTCACACGGAATAAATTACTCAATGTACACAATGTCTTCAAGTTCCACGTTCAATTACCCAACCCTTCCACCACCCCCTCAACATGTTCATCCATACCAATATCCCCCTCCCCCACCCCCATGGGAATTACCCCGTGTACCATCAGCACATGCAACACTTCCAGCCTATTTACAAAATTTCCCCCCTCCTCCCCCTCCCCCTCCCCCTCCCCCACCACCTCCACCTCCACCTTCTCCTCCCCCTAAATTCCATTCTGTAGAATCACGCACTTGCCATGATACAGGTGCAAACAAAAGTGAAGTTCCAAGACAAGGGAAGGCCTTTACTGTTTATATGTCAAAAGTCGTGATTGGACCACAACTTGAAGAGGGGTGAGTTAATACTCAGCAATATAATTTAATTATCATGCCAAAGCAGTCTCCTATGCTGCACTTTATATATTTTTAATAAGGAAGTGAAGACTCCCAATCTTTAGGTAGAATCAATACCCATGTTTGTTTGTTTGTTTTTTTTTTTTACTCCACTCTCGACCTTAAACAGCCATATTTAGACTGGTCACAGTCTCATAGTCTCAAAATAACAAACAGCTGTTATCAAGTTTTAAAGACAAAAATTTGAATTTTCAATTCAAAAAGATCAATTTGACATTTGATGGAAGTGAAGCAAAATTACATCAAGACAAGCTTTGTACTCATGCTCAAGGAGATCTTTGCAATACAATAATTAAATGATCAAGGCTTAGCTGCTGGGATATTTGTGACTATCATTTGTATTTGATGACATTGTAATTAACTACAGGTGGGTTCTATTGCGTTTCAGGTCTTCTTCAAGCAAGTCTTCACTGGTGAATATTGTACTAGTGATACTACGTGATGTATAAATATTTTTATCAATTTAATTTTAAGGACATAAATTCCACAAATATTAATGAAAACAATGGTGTTGTTCTCCACGGAAGAAGTGAATCAGTTATTAGGAAACTGAACAGAAAGCATCAGTGGTAACTTTTCTGTGGTTTTTAGGTTCTTTTGCACTTTGTGATTTATCTCAGAAAGTGTTCACGGTTTTTTCATCATAACATCTTTACCAGCCATTATTAAACTAGAGAACCAGACAGTCCACTGCACACCACCAAAAATTTCAAAGAGAAAATTGGGTTGTGATGTTATGATTGTTGAAATATCTGTTGCCACATCCTTGAGTATGTCTGTACTTAAGTTGAACTGTTTGACTAAATTTTCAGCAGAATCATAATTTATAAAAATTGGGAATGTAAATTCACTTCTTGTTAGACATGAAAGGATACTATTAAATTTCAAACTTATTTTTTGAGATTTAAGGCAACTAGCAAACTCATTATGAATGATATTGATTCATAAATAGAATTTTCTTACATGTATGGGCAAACACTTAACCTTGTCAGGTGGTTCAGTATTTAACCCTTTACTTCAAAGATCATTAGTAAATAAATGCTTCTTAATGTCTTCCATACAATTCTTATGATGTTAGTTCTTGTGATGTTAGACTTGATATTGGATCAACTAATAATCTCCTTATTGACATTTTTCTTTATTTTCATTACTTGTGCACTTGATATTGTACTGATATTGTAAGGAGAAATTTTGTCCTGGTCACTCATGGGAGTTAAGGGTTAATTTAATACATGTAATTTTAAGATGGTGATATCTCTGTGTATACTGGTGAAGTGGGAGGGGGGGGGGGGAGGTATTCGTACAGATGTGTCCAAGAAAATGTTCCTTTAAATATTTCTTCTATCAACTCTCAGATGCCAACACATTGTCAAATGTCAAGATAATGAGAATTAAGAATCCTTTCAATTAAGTGTATTATCTTTATATACATGCATAACCCCAAATCCTTCTATTAACTAATATGCTGGTGGTTACTAGAAATGTGAAGCAACTACAAGGGAGAATTTACATATTACATCTCTTTTGCTCTGTTTCCCAGACTGGTGATGACTCACTTGATAAAACTGCCTACACTATTAGAAACAAAATTCAAAAGGTATATAGTTAATATATGAACAGACTGATGTTGATCATTGATATCTGGTCTGTCTTACAATATAACGAGAAATTATGAAGTTGTCATCATGATAGAAAGTGCACTCGTTGGTCAATGAGTGTGTTTAGATGAGAGTATGTGAGTGATTGTGAGAGTACAATTAGCCTGTTTTCCAGAATATTTTTGAAAAGCAATACCCTCATCATCTAAACACTTTGGGCTGGTTATTTACATGATGTCTAACCCAAACCATGGTTTTATGCAAGAGGGTTGATTTCTTGAAATAAATGTCCTTCCACTGTTAGCTTTTGGCCCTCTTGATGCTGTTCACAAAAATAAATGTTCAGATAAACAGTTCAGCTTCATTGAAGATTGTTTAGGATGGGGTTGTTAAACAACAACTTAAGTTTGTTTAATAATCAGACCTTGGGGTCAGAGAGAATTCCCAAAAGTTATGCAAAGTCTTGACTGCCTTCATTTGCATACCTCTCTGAAATCCTTCCAATCCCTCTTGTGTTTATTCAAGGCTATTCAAACACAGAGAATGTCCTCTATTGCTTGAGTGTAATGTGATTCACAGTATTGTACATGGACCTTGGAAGTTGTGATGATCTGTTTAAAGTTGTAAACATTTAGGTTTAAACTGTAAAGTTTGTATATCACCCAGAATAATCATACCAAACTGTGGTTTCTCTCTTTGCAGCTCTCAGGAGCATGTCAGAGTACAAATAATATTTCATCTTCAGCTGAACAAAATGTGCAGCTTCATATTATTCAGGTAATAATAATGGAGTTCAACTTTTTCTTCCTGGAGTGATTACTTGTTACAATTTGGATCCACTGCATTAATCTATCACCAAATTCTCTGGACCAGGAAGGAAAGAACTTAATATACATCAGTCATGAGAATTTGGCTTTAGATTGTCAAAAAGGTATTAGTATATCAGTATAAATTATTCTTTAATTTTTTAATAACTTTAAGCCTTGTGATAGCAAGTGAACTCTCCCAGTCTTTCAATTATTTCTCCCCCCTTCAAGTCTTAATAGTACAGCATAATTACTGAATGAAACATTGTGTTTGTTTTACATCAACAGAATCCTGGTGAATCTACACTGTCATCTGTTCCAAAAACGAAAAGGAAAAGAATTTGAAATGCTCAGAATGAATACTTTGAGTCCATGTAGTACCTTATCTTGACAACAGCCAATCAAACCCACTGCAAATCCACACCAGTAGTTATTACAAACTACAAAAACAAAAAAAAAATGGAACAAACAGGATACATGGCCCAGGGTACACCAGGAAAATGGAGATCAACAAGCATGGAAAGTTAGTTATATCTGTTCTTTTGGGTAAAGTGTTTCTCTGTGACTCTCACTTCATAACTCTTTTTTGAGACATGCACATTCCAAGATACTCTTTTAAGTTCTAGTTATGCATGTCAACAGCTGTTCTTAAATTATTGTGTTCATAACACAGAAAGTTAGAGATGACAGGTGATGATACATAAATGAATGACAGGAGATTGGGTGTTTTGTGTGTGTTTCGGATATCAGCAGTCAGAAAATTGTCCTGTGACTTTGAAGGCTAGACAGTATCAAACATGTTACCTTAAACAGTGACTGAACTGCATAAACAGGTAGTTTCCTCCTTTACAACACAGTGTTTGACCAAGCTGATAAAATTGGTGACAACATATATCGTGGTTTTACTGTGCATGTGTAACTCTTCCAACAAAGTAATTTGGTATTGTATATCAAATAAGTTTATAACGTAATTGGCCAACATTAAGAGTTTCAAAGCTGACGTTTTGAGCATTAACCCTTCATCATTCGCTCTGAAGGTGGCTAATTCATGTTATCAATTCAGTTTTTAATACCCAAACGACCCTGATGAAACAGGTGACTACATACCATTGTTTTACTGTGCATGTGTAACTCATCCAACCTTTGTCTCTAGTCTTCACAATATCTGACCTTTTCACCCCTAAGATTTCAGTATATTTTGTTAGCACTTCTTCTGATTCCAGCTTTGAGAATTTGGTCTTCAATCAACCAGCATCTCACAACTGACCCTTTTTTCTCTACACTTTGCTTTGGAATATTTGCTTTTCAATAAGACATCCCACACACTTGGGTGCAGTAAAGGCCTCTTACTAAGATGAGTTAATGTTGCTAGCTCTATAAAGCTTTTTGATTTGGGGAGGCTGTATGGAGGGATGAGAAGAAATCTCTATAGCCTCACCCCCTCCCCTCTCCTTCCTTTTGATCATTGCCCACCCCTTTGGTAAAAATTTATTTCTTTCATAAGCCTTCCATTGCTGAAAAAGTCAATGATAGCAGCTATAACTTTCACTAAGAAAATACCAACCACTCACTTGTCAAAATTACACCTGTTCTGCAGGCTAACTAAATACATCAACGGTGAACCAAAAAGAAGGCATATTTTTTTCATGAATATGCTGAGGATGAAGAACATAAAAGTATGCAAGATACAGTCAAACCTGTATATCACCCTTGGGCAATGGAAGCATGTCAAAGCATAATACAGGTTGACCTCTTAATACAAGTTGATCAGCAAATGACTTGCTTGATGTTTGTGTGTAAACAGCAATGTTGAGGAAATTTTTTAACTCAAAGTACTTACATCAATTTGGGGATACACATGGAATAAATTTTACATGAGAGATTCTTCTTAATTTTATCTAATTAGTGGTTCTGCTAAAAGTGACTATTCAATTTAGGTGGAAGACAAAACAAACCTGCCTTAAAGATCCAGTGAGGGGTGACCATGACCACAGAATAGAAGTGGAAATTACACTTCTTAAGGGAAAATGTTTGGGACTTTGACAACCAACCACCTTATACAGGGTGACCACTTAATATGGTGCTGCTTACATGTGAGACAGGTTTGACTGTACCTGTCACTAATGCATGACTTGAAATCTCTGGGACAACCTAAACCTTACATAATATTTAAAGAATCTAGATGAAAGCCAAGTACATTTTGGAAATTTAATCTCAACAAGGAAATGGGACATAGACTTCTCCTCCTTGAGAATTAATTTAAGCCAAAAAAATTAGCAAACAATTTTGAAAAACAAAAAAAATGTCAAAAACAGCAGTTTATATAGCGACTACTTCACCTATTGCTACAAAGCCTAAAGCAACAGTAATGAGTCCGTCATTATGCACTGTAATTCCATGTATGTTCATGAAGCTATCATTAATTTGGATTTGTACACTACGAACTAACTTACAATCTTTACTGTATATGTTAACCTCCATGGGGAGCTTCGATACTGGTCCTGCTTTACTAGCAAAGATGAAATGTTCACTTTCTGGGTGAAATGTAATTCTCGTGCTCTCAAAGTAACCTCTTTGCAGTTTAACCTTGTTCAGATGGTGGCCGTGTTCACTGAATATGTGAACATTGAGATCTCTTTTTTCAGAAGAATAGACGGATTCATCAATCTCAACTACTAACACACGGCCATCATTAGCAACAGTGATATCCTTTCCAAACATCAATTTTTCTTGTCCAAAACTGCGAACAAACTCTCCATTACTGTCATACTCCTCTACTTGTTTCTCATTCCACAAGGTCACTACTTTCCCTGTATCCCCGACTGACAGTCCTCTGTACGATTTGTCCCTGCCCTTTTGCCTCAGAGAGAACTTGGTTTCAGTAAGTAGGTTATGAACACACCAATGCTCACTATGTTGCACTGTGGTCAGCGCAAAGATATTGTCATTCTTATCTGTGGCTACATCTAAAATGCATAACATTGCATTTTCATCGTTGGTAGGGAGATT